CTTCTCTTTCACAGAATATGTATAATCAGAAGTATTACTAGGGATAGTTTTTCCAAAATGAACGCGTCATGCACACGCCATCACACTTGCCGCACGGATGGCTTCCTGGATTTCTTACCATTTCTGTTGTGTTTGGTAATATTTAATAGAGTACTGAACTTAACAATAAAACCTGACAACACAATCAATTTGAACAATATCATATTTCACTTGTCTCTTAATCAAATTGTTACCTACTATACGGGCAATTACGATGCCTCTAATGATTTATGTCCTATATAGTCGTATATAAATAGACATATTATAGTTTTAAAAGTTCTCAAGGTGAACTTATATGATATAGATAACAGACTATAGCAGAGCACGCCCTGATAGGTAGAGTGAATCTGACCTCTTCATTGAGATGACCTAGGTACTGCTACAGGCTACAGAGAGGTCCATATCAATTTCTAACGGTGAATTTTGATAATCCTTTCATCTATATAGTTTTGTCTTCCACAAGGTTCTGATTACAATGCGGATAAACTCGCCGCAATATTTTCAAAGTATACAAAACACCTGGTAAGTTTTTTTTTATCAATCATTTAATAAGGTTTGCTAAGGGCGATAATATTTCGCGTACAAATGCACGAGCAAACAAAACTTGGCAAGGAAAATTTGTCAAGGAAAATTCGTCCGTCTCTACGGGGCTTTATACTAGATTGCATGTAGACTATTTTTTGCTAAATTATATTACTGCACAGTTATCCGGTTGATTAACGAACCGAAATTTCTATTCTTATACATTTAAGCAGCAATGCAACTTAATTCAGCACGGGTTTTTTTCTTTTACTTTTTGCCCTGATTAATTATGCTTTTCTGCATGATCGAAACTATAGATGTGATACTGTAATTGGGGGGGGATACATATTCGTATATCCTTTTGTCTGACAGATCTCTTTTGTATATGTATGCGCGTTTTCAAAAGAAATCCGTTGGGCAGAACATCATATAAAAAAATTATCACCACCCCTTCCCCGAATTATCGCCCTAGTTTCGACCCTGCATGCTTTATTTATTTAGTATAGTGTAGTTTTCCGACAACACTCACAACTGCATGCTGAAGTTTGATTACCATTTTTGATACAGCCAGTTTTATGTACATGTACTGACGTAGGAAATAAAATCGGTAAAGAAACGTTCTTTATAATTGTCGAAAATTTCCTGACAAGGAAAAAAAAAATGCGTTTTCCTTAATCTCGTGCTAAAACCTTTACTCGCTACGAACCGTTAAACAACCATTAAAATGTGAGCTAGGCTTCAGTGATTTGATATTCTGAATATAAAATATATAAACTTTGTACATGTAGGCTCAAGACATAAAATTGAAATACAGTACTGATCAGTACTGAGTATTCAAACACCTCTTTTTGGCCCTCACAAAAAAGCATGACTATTTTTAGATTCTAGAGCGTCATATTATGCACTCCCTAGCAGTTTTAGGAATTAATTGGTCACTCGCAAGCAGATTTATGACCAAAGATGTGGCATTTACCACTTCTTTTTTTAAAATTCAATTAAAATTCAATTCATGACTGTATTAATTTGATTGCTAGAACTTTTTCACTTTTCCCGAATAATCAGGCCTTTTAGTGCAAAGAACAGTTTTTAAGTGCATAAATTTTTAAATGAGTATAAAACATTAAATATTCAAAACCTGACAACGTGGGTCTTTTAGTGTTGTAAATTACCACGTGCAGATATTGACTGAGATTAAGAGAACCTATTCCAAATACTTGTAGACAAGGCATACTTAAAAAGTGTTGGACATAAATTTTTAAAATGCTTAAATGTTTTGTTATTTTTTTGACCGGCCATAATTTGATCGACAATGAAAACTATACACATCTTACTGGCCCTATTCGATCTTTATTCAAAAATACAAACACTTTACTATTCATTCTTCCTAAAACATCGATACTCTCACAAATATATCCTCCCAATTAAACAATAAACTTAAAAAGGTAGTAAATGGCACTTGTTAGGTTAAAAATGTACTTCCGGTTTAAAATAGTAAGTTAAAATAACTGCTGAACAGTGCGAAAAATCTCGCTCTGGAACATGTAATATTTTTATACAAATTGCTTTTGTTTTAAAGTAGATATGAGGATTTTCATGAGGGCTGTAAAACAGTGTTTGAATACTTTTAATCAGTAATGTAGCTATGTCGTATGAATTTTTTTCCTGTCGAACAATTTTATGTATACTCGTGCAACTTTAGGGTTTTGAAAAACTCACTCGTGAGTAGTGCATGGCCTGAAAGTTTTATCAGGAACAACAATCGTATACTTGTAATATACATGTAGTATTATGTAGTATTTGAATTTAATCGCAGGGATTACCTTCCTAATATCCGCACTATAACCACGATCGCACTTGTCAGCTACCTTTGTAGCTCAATAGGAAGAGCATTGCATGCACCGGTGTCACGATCTCAGTCCCCCCGGTTCTGAGTACTCTCCTTGTAACAAGTGCGCATGTGCAGCCTGGGAGGATAACTGAGCACGTAGCACGGCGGGCTCAGTTCTCCCCAATCTTAACGATCCCTCAAAAAACTGGATAAATATTAAAGCAAAGAAAACTGTTTGGGTAACAGGTAGCGTTGTTAAAATGTGTCACGCAAGGATTTCTTGTAATTGTGGGTAATTTTCTGTTGTATAAGATGAAATGAGCACAAATTTTCCTTATTTTAACCGTTTTTTGTGACTTGTGACTCCGCAGGAAGCCTAGCATGTTTGTTGATGATTAATCATTCAATTTTCAATCGTCTGTCTCATTCATCCCCTTCATTAGCCTCATAAAACATCAGTCAGTCTCACCCATCCCCTTTGCCCAATATCAGTCGATCTCACTCGTGATCTGATATGTACTAGTTAATAAGTTGTTCAAAAATAATCAATTACCTGCACGAAAAAGTTTTAATGCACTTAGCTACACACTCTGCAGACTTATTACTTATGGGCATTGCAAAGGCTTCTGGCTTGAATTCAGTTGTGTCTGATTTCCACTCGAAATTAAGGCCCTTTGATCCTTATACCTTGTAGTAGTTTAGGGCTAATGCTTCTTGCGAGCAGAACCTAATTTGAACTGGCTTGCATTAAGTTCAGCTCATGATGAGCATCTAAACCGGCCTGAAATGTTACGCCACATCACGTCATCATGCAAACGCCTCTCACGACGACAATCGCATTCGTATATCCTACTTAAAACTTTAATATTTCATTGCCGATGTGATCATCCTAGCTACGGCCTTGTTTTTCTGGAAATGTGAGGCAGAAACAATGTACTCCCAGCCAAAGAAAGGTATACAAATATGCTGAAGAAAATGTAATGTTCATCAGGACTTTTCCTGGTGTAGCGTTGATTGATTTCTGATTAATTATTGATTATGAATTATTTAATATTATCATGCTAAATTGCTAAATCGAGTAACAGTAATGGTTATGGTGCTTGTGAATAGTGTATAAATCTATACCATGAATCTAAACGTATATTTTTGCACCCTTTCAAAATATTTATATATGTTTAAAAACATCGGTCACATATTGATCTGGAGGTATGCGATAGTTATTGTATAATTACATAAATCTGTTATCTGTGCATGCATGTGTTTCGTTTAAAAATTTAAAAATTTAGTTAAAAAATACCTTTTGCATGAAATCAATGCGATTTTGCTCTAAGAACGCATATAAAACATCAGGGGTCGGTTGTATCAAGCCTGTTTAGTATAGAAAACAAGTCTATCGTTTTATTCAACAAGCAAACTAACCTTAATACAAAGATACTGTTTACAACTATATATATTCAATGTTGGATATCTTGTCACGTTGCCTTTGCTTGCATGCTAAACCCAACATTGCCAAGGGGATGGGGGGAGAATATCCCATGAAACAAGTAAGTTAATCGGAATGAAATGAAAATTATACTTCACCAACAGTGTTATTAACAGGTTTTGTCCATGATTGTATGGTGTTATTTAAATTTTACTTATCTTAAGCTAAACGGGCGTGATATACAACCGGTCCCTGCTGCTAACGTAACAACTAGCACCAGCAAAAAATTCCTCCAGCCCATCTAACCGTTTAGCAAACTTCTTATTCTTTATCAAATGCCTCTGATCACTGGGGCCGGTCGTACGAAAGCTGGATAGATCACGATCCACCGGATGATGTTTTTCAAACGCTCAAAAATTGGCTATTGTTTGGTATAACGTGGGTTAACCTTAGTATTCCAAAATTGAGGATTCGCTTTAATAATTGTTCACTGAAAATCTGTAGTTTCACTGCTTTTCGGACATTTTTATAACGCTTGAAAAAGTCACTCCTTCATTTATAACGCTACCCAGCCTTCATACAACAAGGCCCCGATCTATTTACATGGATCTCATGCATCTGAGGTCGGTTGTAGGAAAGTTGAATAGCGTTATCCAACGGATAGTGTTTTCAATCGCTCTAAACTGCCCGTTGTTCAGTATAACCTGGATTTAACCTCAGCATTTTCAACTTGGGAGTTCTCCTCTTTCATAACTATTAGCTCAAATCTGTAAATGCATTGCTCTTTGAGAAAGCTATATGGCATGTGCAATCTCGTAACGAAATTCCTAATATAAAGAAGAAAGTCTTTTGTGACTTTATAAACAGAAGATTCCTTCGTTATTTTAGTCGCCTTCTAAATGGTTTGCAATCGCATATAGAGAAGCAATATCTCACACGCGTTCGTGTGATATTTTATATTCAAGAACATCACAGAATTTTTATGATTTTGAAGGTAAGCGGGTGTGGTATAAGCTGCCTTTATCAGATTTGTTACAAGATGTGTTATTTTTACGTGTGTATGTCATATCGACAGCAAATTCTGAACTGTGTTGATCCTTTACTATCGTTTTAATGCACCATATGTATATATTTTGTTTTTGTTTATGTTCACATTTAGTCGAGTTTCGACGCCTGGGTTTGCTGACATTGGATTGTTGGAGAGAATATTGTAAGCGTTCGTTATCAAGAAATTATTTTCAACCATCTACTTTCAATAGTTTAATGATTTACTTTCCATGCATATAAGATAATAGAACTAAACAATGATAAACAGATTTTGCTCTTGCCTTCTTGGGGAATTCGGGGGGCTGGCTGCACAATTAACCGAAAATATTTAGATTTCCGACTCTCTGAAATTCCTTTATATGCGTTTTTGACCGTTGACAATAGTTAACTAGGAAGCTTAATCAAGTTTTACTCTTTTTAGTGCAAAGTTTCTGTGAAACTTTGCAGTATTGTGGTGAGTGGCGAAAATTCACATCAGACAGTCAGACAGTCAATCAGTCATAGTGTAAACTCCGGGGGGCGGAGTGTTTTTATGCGTATAGTAGCTTTTTGTATATAATCAGTAATTTAAAGTTTTTAAATCAGTTTAACTTGCTTTATTTATTAATTCTCTACATTTCTTTTGCTAAGTTCACCAAAATATTGAGGAATTTTGACGGTTACTGTAAATTTTAAAGCATTGCTTTTCCGCGGTTTGGGTTTTGTTTCAAAGGGATTTGCGCAGATTTACCCCCGGAACACCCGATTTTTTCCTATACGTCGCAACTGCGCATGTGCCGTCGAGCCTTCAACATTATTCACGATGTAAAGAAACGAGGAGCGACGAGCATTGCTTCAAAACATTCCGAGCGTAAAATCGTGCAATTCTTTGAGAATCTACGCAATTTATCAACTTATGTTATGAATTACGAGCATTCAATTCGACACAAATATAATTTGGAAGGTTTATTCCATAAATAGAGATTCATAAGAGGTTAGGAAAAAACGACGCTGTGTTGTTTATGTATTGATAGATCTCTTACACGAATGACGAATATATATTATGTCGATATATAGCAAGTCGATACCTGGTATTCTGCATACAGTACATAAATGATACTATACAAAACGGACATTTTGTGCAGTAATCAAATCATTTTGGCGGTATACAGTATTGATTATATGTATATTGTTTTGTATCGATTTAGCTACGCGTCGAAGTATCCACATCATAGACATAATATGCACCGCGGTTTATTTACATTATTTACAACGCAACTATTTTGGCTATTCTTATGAAATGACGATAAATTGTTGCCATCATATAAATGTAGTGAATGTAGTCACAGTTGTTTGACGAAGAAAAGAGACTAAACTGAAAATCGCGTCCGGTTTACATGGGCAACTAAAATAATTTAATAGTGACAGTATCCGCGGCTAACGTAACTTGAGTACTTTGAATAATTTCCTTTTGATTAATGTTTAACCTAGTTCATTATATTTTTACTGGCATAAGTCAAAATGTTTATGTTGGGAAAACGTGTTGCTTAGGTATTACAGGGCATGAAAACTTTGCACTATCCTTGGATCCCTAGTTAAATTTTGGATACGATATTTTGACTTGAGGTTTTCCAGTTTCAGCCATTAGTTCATCTCTTCTGAGGTTTTTGTTGAAATGAGTAATTGCCAATATGTGCCTGTAGTTTAAAATAAAGTGAAGCTTAGTTTTAGATGTTTATTTATAAAATAACAATAGAACTGTGTCTGTATAACTGTAATAGTTATTTTTCACACCAATGTTGAGCATGACTTATTAACAAGATGATGGAGGGATTATATACATATAGGAGTCTGTATACATTATAAAAGCATGTACATACCTGCAATACATCCCTGGAAATGAAAATGCAATCATTTTTGGGGAAAAATGATTTAACACAGAGTGGAATCCCTCTAAGCAACTAGTCTGTGAAAGTGGTGATGCTTGGCAAATACCCTTTATAATTCTCTTGTTTAAAAGAGCATTGCGCACTCTCTCATAAACATCAGAATCTATATTAACCAAAATAAATTTATAGTTACCATACCAATGCAGTATTAATAGTTGGTATACTTATATGCTAATTAAAATTGTATACAAGTAGTTTAAACAAACAAAAATGGTTCAACTTATTCAATAAGATGAAACATGTTTGTCACATAAATTTGGAGAGATGAACAGCAGTTGATAGTTAGATTCAGGGTGTGCAATACAGCTAATTGTGGTTATTTGTAAAATATGTTTTACCTTTATCAAGCCGTGTTCTTTCCTCTATATCATCATGTGCACACTTATTGAAGACAGGATTAGGAAAGTCTTTGTGAACATTAGTAACATGTTCCAAAAATGATTCAAATTTTGCCCAAATGACTTGGCCATTACCATCAGCTGTGGATGTGGCACTCCAGATGAGATGGTTAACACATGGCTTCACCCATGGTAAAAGCACCTCACAATCCTTCTCCTTAGCAATTTTGCTCAGTACTTTTGAAACCTCTAAAGAATATACAGTATGTCTTTAGTATGTTTGTATATTCTACATAGCAATTATGTGATATTTATAGCACATACATTTGGTCAAATGCCACAGGTCAAAGTAGTGAGTGATTTCTGGCAGCTTTCTAGCATGTGTTTGGCAATGGATGAATGGCGATCAGACACAAAGGTGTTAAGATTCAAATCATTTTTTGATACATCCTCCATTGATCTTGTGAAAGCCATATATTCCATGGCAGGACTGCTGCCAGCTTCATTTTTCTAAATGGTGAAAAATATGCAAATATATAATATGCTAAGAGTTCATAAATCTACAATATATTATGCAATTACACAGTACCTGCACTAAACTGAAATCAATTATTGCATTTATTGGATCATCACAACAGAACAAACTATATGCACATTATTTTGCGCTATGTCCCATACTGTCATGACGACCATCCCCAGCTAAAACAATGCCATCTATTTCTTTCAACTTTGCTTGCCATGATGCTTTGTATGATTTCCAATGCATATGAATGGTGGGAAACAGCTTGGTCTTAAAATAAAGAGATCTTCATAATAAGTACAAGGTGATGGAAATTCCTCACTAACTTCCAAGAGAGCAAACAAATAACAAATGAGTGGCAGCTATTTTTTTGTCATGATAGAAAAAAACAACCTAAATAGGAATTGTTTTGAACTGGTCAACACCAATATAGCTAACTGGTTAGGTAACTAATCAAACAAACTGCATGTATACATACACGTTGATGGCGGTAGAATGTGGACAGAGATATGCTTCCTAACCCCATATGTTCAAATATTCTTAGCGTTTTGCTTGCAGATCCACCGCCAGTTAAAATGGCAAATGACAGAAGTAAATTCCCCGCTGGAATACTGGAGTTAGGAAATTTTGGTTGACTGCTCCACACATTGTTGCGTTTTGTGCACTTTTTTTGACTGCATGTTCTCTCGATTTGTACCATTGTTCCAAACTTTTTAACATCAATGAGGACACCTGGCATGCTACAGGTTGGACAAGTGCCAAATAATTCCATGAGTTGTGGAAGAAAGACAACAAACTTTGCTTGTGTCCTCAAATTGTCATCTTTGATATAGACTCTTAAATGAATAGAATGAAGTAATAAGATATCAATATAAGATATCAAGGTATTTTGCTTATGTTTGCATACAACTACATGCGTACTTTATTTCTTATAGATATTTCATTTCGGTCATTTATACATAGTGTATTTGAGTAAAATTAGTACCTTTTCCCAGAAATATCATCCTCTATCTCCGATTCTGTATCAGTGGCAGTCAATGGCTCTTCCAGTGCTGGTTCTTCTTCGACCTCTGTTGGTATGGATGGTTCTGATGTATGTGAGTCAACATTGCTAACACTGCTAACATCATCATCATCATCACCATCCTCTTCCTCATCACTAGTATCATCATCTGATGATGAATTATCACCACCTAGTAAATAAATAAGGGATTGCAATAAGCAACATTTACAGAATATTATTATCATAACATGTTTTGAACAACATTAACAGATTATGATTACCAAAACTTCACTGAGCCTTATAAAAAAGCATCCTTTCCTTCATTTGCCTCAACTTTTTCGTTAATTCATTGCAATTGCTACAACTTGATGGCATTGTCTGGACCCACGCGGTCTTTACATTTCCTTCAATATCACCCTAAAATATATAGATATAGACTTTATATGCATAATTTTGATAGATAGAATTTGTTTGCATAATTCCGGAAATTACTCCGTCTTTAATACCATGTCAGTTTCTTCTGCTGATTGTTGTTCAAGCATCTCAACTCATAAATCGTGTTGGTCACTCTCTGCTGTTGGGCATTGTTCAAAACTCTCGGTTGATTAACATGCTGCTGCTTGACTATGAGATTTTGTAGCGCCACACTTTTCATAATCTGTTTGTTTAGCACAAAGAGTCTATAAATAGATAAAATATCATTTTACTATTTATTTAAAAGACAAAGGTCAAAGTCTAAATACAAATTACAGCATAATGCCTATGAAATGTCCCATAATGATACATTCATCATCCGCAGTGACTTTGCGCAGAGTATGCAAAATACGGGAATATAAACCATAAAGAATAAAGTACTAGTATAAAGTATTGATGATACTCACTATTCGACGGCGGTCTCTCGTGGATAACGTGCTACTTGTCTCGCAGTATTTTGAAGGAAACACACATATGCCTATATTGTCTTGCTTCAAGCGAGGAGCCACGAGCAATGGTTTATCTGCGTCAGGCATTTCATTGACGCCAATGTAGCGATTCACAAAATCCTCTTCTTTAAAATGTTTAGAGCAAACTTCTGAATGGACAGAAGGCTCCCATTTTTCACGTTTCCGTCGGACAAAATCTACCCAAGTCTTTCTTCGCTTTTTTGCCTCGGGCCGCATATCATTTGCATACGGAATTCTGTGCAGTGCAATTCCTTCGCGTAAATTCGCTGTGTTGGAACAACCAAAGACGAAACACCTGTGTGGCATCTTAACACTGAAGATGCCGAACACAAAAGGCGTAAATCTTCAAAAAAATATTCGCTTAACCCCGCTTTTACAATGCAGCACTGTTTTATTTCTATAGAAAAGCGCATTGTTCTCTTTGCGACTTCCCGATTTGACGTCACACATAACATTAGTTACCAGTTTTTTCAGGGTCACGGTCAAACGTTAAAATTGTCAAAATCACCAAATTTGAGGCCCTCAAAGTCAATGAAGATGAAATTTTCGACCTATCAAATATATTGCAAAAATTCTTAAAATCGTCTAAACTATCTAAAAAGTCTATTTCCCCAATCATGACATAGACACTTTAATATTGATTTGCTGAATTTGAAATTCAGTACGAATGTTCAGAAGGGATTCGTAAAGGATACAACAGAATATTAGACCAGCAGTTTATTTCAATAAGGTCAAAAAATTTCAAAACAACTGTTCAAAATTGCAATTTTTCCCTTATATGAGATATCAGATTTTGAAAGCTAAATTCTTTAATATTGATTTGCTGAACTTGAAATTCAGTAACAATGTTCAGAAGGGATTGGCAAAGGATACAACAGAATATTAAACCAGCAGTTAATTTCATTCAGGTCATGAAATTTGAAACCATGGTCTAAAATAGCAATTTTTCCCTTAAATGAGATATCAGATTTTAAAAGCTAAATTCTTTAATATTGATTTGCTGAACTTGAAATTCAGTAACAATGTTCAGAACGGATTGGCAAAGGACACAACAGAATATTAGACCAGTAGTTTATTTCATTTAGTTCAAAAAATTTGAAAACCATTGTCTAAAATAGCAATTTTTCCCTTATATGAGATGTCAGACATTGAAAGTTAAATTCTTTAATATTGATTTGCTAAATTTCAAATTGAGCAAAAATGTTGAGAAGGGATTGACAAAGCATACAACAGAATATTAGACCAGCAGTTCATTTCATTCAGTTCAAAAAATTTGAAAACCTTTATCTAAAATAGCAATTTTTCCCTTATATAAAACGTCAGATTTTGAAAGGTAAATTCTTTAATATTTTATTCTGAACTTGAAATTCAGTAACAATGTTCCGACGGGATTGGCAAAGGATAGAACAGAATATTAGACCAGCAGTTCATTTCATTCAGGTCAAAAAATTTGAAACCAGTTGTCCAAAAAAGCAATTTTTCTTTTATATGACATGTCAGATTTTGAAAGCTAAATTCTTTAATATTGATTTGCTGAACTTGAAATTCAGTAAGAATGTGCAGCAGAGATTGGCAAAGGATACAACAGAATATTAGACCAGCTGTTCATTTTATTCAGTTCAAAAAATTTGAAAACCATGGTCTAAAATAGCAATTTTTCCCTTGTATGAGATGTCAGATTTTGAAAGATAAATTCTTTAATATTGATTGCTGAACTTGAAATTCAGTAAGAATGTTCAAAAGGGATTGGCAAAGGACACAACAGAATATTAGACCAGCAGTTCATTTCATTCAGGTCAAAAAAATTCAAAACAATTGTCCAGAGTAGCATTTTTTCCCTTATATGAGATGTCAGTTTTTTGAAAAATAAATTCTTTAATATTGATTTGCTGAACCTGAAATTTAGTAAGAATGTTCAGAAGGTATTGGCAAAAAATATAACATAATATTAGACCAGCAGTTCATTTCATTAAGGTCAAAAAATTTGAAACCAGTTGTCCAAAAAAGCAATTTTTCCCTTATATGAGATGTCAGATTTTGAAAGATAAATTCTTAAATATTGATTTGCTGATCTTAAAATTCAGTAAGAAAGTTCAGAAAACATTGGCAAGGGACACAACAGAATATTAGACCAGTAGTTCATTTTATTCAGTTCAAAAAATTTGAAAACCTTTGTTTAATATTGATTTGCTAGATTTCAAATTGAGCAAAAATGTTGAAAAAGGGATTGGCAAAGGATACAACAGAATATTAAACCAGCAGTTCATTTTAATAAGGTCAAAAAATTTCAAAACAATTGTTGAAAATTGCAATTTTTCACTTATATGAGATATCAGATTTTAAAAGCTAAATTCTTTAATATTGATTTCCTGAACTTGAAATTCAGTAAGAATGTTCAGAAGGGGTGGCAAAGGATACAACAGAATAGTAGACCAGCAGTTCATTTCAATCAGGTCAAAAAATTTGAAAACCATTGTCTAAAATAGCAATTTTTCCCTTATATGAGATTTCAGACATTGAAAGTTAAATTCTTTAATATTGATTTGCTAGATTTCAAATTGAGCAAGAATGTTGAAAAGGGATTGGCAAAGGATACAACAGAATATTAAACCAGCAGTTAATTTCATTCAGGTCATAAAATTTGAAACCAGTTGTCCAAAAAGCAATTTTTGTTTTATATTAGATGTCAGATTTTGAAAGCTAAATTCTTTAATATTTATTTGCGGAACTTGAAATTCAGTAAGAATATGCAAAAGAGATTGGCAAAGGATACAACAGAATATTAGACTAGCAGTTCATTTTATTCAGTTCAAAAAATTTAAAAACCATGGTCTAAAATAGCAATTTTTACCTTATATGAGATATCAGATTTTGAAAGATAAATTCTTTAATATTGATTTGCAGAACTTGAAATTCAGTAACAATGTTCAGAACGGATTTGCAAAGGACACAACAGAATATTAGACCAGTAGTTTTTTTCATTTAGTTCAAAAAATTTGAAAACCATTGTCTAAAATAGCAATTTTTCCCTTATATGAGATGTCAGACATTGAAAGTTAAATTCTTTAATATTGATTTGCTAGATTTCAAATTGAGCAAGAATGTTGAGAAGGGATTGACAAAGCATACAACAGAATATTAGACCAGCAGTTCATTTCATTAAGGTCAAAAAATTTGAAAATCTTTATCTAAAATATTTGCTAATGGCCGAAAAATATATTTACTCGGGCGTCTTGTGGCAAAAATCATTCACTAATCCCTGTCATGCTTTTGATATTTCTATTTTTGCAGCTATTTTTATATGCATATCTCTAAACACAATAAAGCTTTGCGTAAAAATCCTCCTCACCTTGCATAAGCTGTCTATGGTGGCCTAGGAGGGCCATAAATATTTTCGATTACATGTTGTTTAAAATAAGTTATATTTTTGTTTTTCTTTCACTTTTTTTATTTTTTTTGAAAAAAAATAACCAAAAAAATAAAAATTTTTTTTTTTCTCCAGCCTATTCGTGCCAGTATAAAAATAAATTAAAAAAAAAATTCGAAGCAGTCTATGAGTGCCATAGCCCATGATGCTTTGTGGGTGTCGATATTATTCGAAGCACATGTTGCATTGCTTGAATGCTGTTTTATTCGCTTCAGTAATGTCGAACAAAAACAAATGTAAATGGGACAATTTTAAGAAAAAACATGCAGAGAAAAGGCGAAAGAAGGATGAAAATTTCCCTGACGTTGTAGATTATTTGACTGTGCAGAGATTAACCGCTGATGTAGAAGGAAAATGTTAAAAATACGGCCGCATTTGACCCTTGACAATCGTGCCTTTTCCATATGATGCACTAACTCTTGATAATATAAAGAAAGCCTGCAAGAATCATTTTGGCATAGCTTCGGTTATGGAGTGTGACGTGCTAGCTGGTGAAAGAGGTCCGTCATACACCAGCATCGATCAAATAAAGAACACTAAATTACTGCACGTAAGATTTCACTTTAATGATCAAGCTGCCGACAATGATGATGAAGGCGTTGACGAGGAAGATCCAGTTCTCCTCAGTTCCTCAGATCGTTTAACGAGTGGGACAGCAGCGAAAAAACCGAGGACTTAAAAGGCTGACAAACCCCGCGTAAGGAATTTTACAGAAACGCGAAGATCTCTAAACATAGATTCTCCGAAAAAGAAAGCGACGCCTTCATCATTTCCAAAGTCAGTTCCACTGAGTAAAATTCTCCAACTTGACAAAATGATCCCTCCAAAATGTGATGAATAAATTGTTGAGTTATACCTCGAGGAATTTTCCATTGATAAAAAGGAGTGGCTTCTTCCATTTCCTGTCAAGTTATCAGTAAGCAAAACATCTTTTGCTAGTGGAGCATTCAGAAATGCTTTTGAAGCCCAAGGAATTTCTGGTCTTAAAGGGAAGTACGTGGTTAATCGTTATAAACCTGACGAGGTGAAGGCTATAGAAGAAGTATTTGGATCAGTTGATAATCACACAAGGAAGTCTGTACAAATGCACACTTTAGCAAAGTATTATGCATCAGCAATGGAGAAGGAGGTTTCCACTTGCAAAGAATTTGGAGAGACTTTCAAGTATACCAAAGTGTATTTGGGAAGAAGTTGTGATGGTCAACTTGTTACTGTTGAGCCTTATATGGAAGGAGAGTTTGTTAAGTATATAAATAATGATGGTGAAATTATTGTAAAAGGCAGTGAAATTTCTGCAAAGGCTGAAGCATTTGCACATTTTACATATGCAAAGTCAAAAAACACAATCATGGTTTTAGATATCCAGGGAACTAAATACTTCTTATATGACCCTGAAATAGCTAGTGCTAAACTTCTTGATGATACTACCAAAGCAGTTTTGTTTTGCTATGGTAACCTATCTACCATAGCAATAGAGAGGTTTTTATTAGACCACAAGTGCAACAAGTATTGTACACTTCTGGGCATATGTGTACTGTAGCAACTAAACATTCCAGGATGAATGGATTTAGAGACCAACTGTATTGTTAGTTGTTAAGTTCTTTTTCAAATTGTTGTTTTTGAACCTTGTTAAAAGATAACTTTTACATTGACACTAGTTTTGAGAAATATAATATATTTACTGTTGTAGATCATAATGTTTAATCATTCAAGTTTAGTAATTTACACTTGTTAATTATGATACATGATTACATTTGTTAAGTATGAACCTATGTACAAACTTTATGCGACATTATTGCCATATTTTTTCCATACATACATTATGCAACATGGAAAAGGTAGTTTTGAAATGTAGAAGCCAGGTCTAGGTCAGTAATTTGATCAGGTTTGGGGATTTGTGATTTTTAAAGTATTTTATAAGTATTTTAGACAGTTGAAGAAACTCCAAAATGTAGTTTTGATCTGATGAACAGAGTTCAATTTATTTGCTAGATTGGCCTCAACCATTGGTTCTAATGGCCTCTATAATGGGCTTTGTAACATTAAATTTTCTCATGTTCACACCTGGACTACACCCTCCCCCCCAATGTGTAGTTCCAGAAAATATCCATAACACCCTCCTAGATCTCCAAAATGATCCACCCATCCATCAGTCTCTACTAATTATTATACATTACATGATTGGGAGAAGAGTTATATGGATATTTTCTGGAACCGCACTATTTGTCACATCCTTTTCAGTTGTATGTTTATGTTAAAGGTGACTTCAGGAACAAGTATGCATTTGCAGCTTGGTCAGGCTTTATTTCATCAGTATTTGGGATGTGCTCTTCACAACTTGCTCGGAATTGTACATTCAGAAAATCATCTGTGTCTTCCAAAACACCAGATAACTTCGCAACTTCTTCCAAATGCTCTTCACTGACAATGTAGCCACATCGCTCACCTCCATACTGCTCAGGGTGATAGTATATATGGTCAGGAACCCCACAAGGAAGTTGTTTTTTTTGCTGCTTTCTTCCACGGTGAGAATTCCACACTGTTTTTCTAAAGATGTCTAACTCTTTTTGAACTACTGGAACATACACATATGCCAGCATATTTCTAGTAAGAAAGAAAAGATAACTTATTAGTCCTTTGCAGATAAATATAACTAAATGCTTACCCAGTAGTACAGTCTACTGTACCTATGTATTGGAATATCTCGTTCATAATCACCATCTTCTAATAACTTCCTTAACTGGTCTTTAAAAAATGTTTCCAGTCTTTCTAGTAACTCTTTCCACCATCGTTCTATCTTGTTTTCGGTAGATGGGCCATAAATGACACAATCTGCTGAATCTTCATCACTTTCATGCTTTGATAGAAGGTAGGAGTGCATGGTGGCCATATCCGCCGTTTCAGTACCCTTATCAATGCGTAGGCGTGTAGGCATAACTAAAACATTAAATATAAAGATCGATAAAGATAAAGATCGAAATAAACAATTACCATCAGCATTAATTGGATGACGTTTTACAGGCGCTCCCAATTGCTTTGACTGTTTGGATTTGTGTTCAAAAATAAGAGGAATATTTAGAAAAGAACATAAGTGCCTTTGAATGAGACTGTTTATAGGACGAAAGATCAGGTGAATGGTTGCATGAAGATAACATAATTATATAACTATCAAACTACGTGTCACGTTCACATCTATCAGTTTTAGTACTTACATGTACTGGTTTGCTTCTTTTATCAACCCAGGTAATTGCTGCTTCCTATTGATACAAAAAGCAGAAAAAAAGCCAAATCACCTAACAAATAACATCTCACAAAAACTGAAGGACTAAAGAGGCGTGAAACACACCAAACTTCAAGGCGTATTCAACTGACACACCATGACCATATTAATTCTATAAACAACAACCGTTTAAAAGTTCAAATAATTTGTTTATAACACAGTCTATACCAGAAATTGAGCAAGAACATGTAATCCTTACCTTTCAGAACTTGCTTCAAACCGAATGAATAGTTGGTTGAAATGAGTTTACAATGATATTAGTGTCAAGCTTTATACACAGCGGAAGGCCACATGGATCGGAAATCCTGATTGCAAAAGCGGCCTGAAGTTAACACTTCAAAGTTTTGTCAAGTTTAATTTAAGTCAAACAATAGATAATCATACAAGTAAGCCACAAGTTGTCTGTTTGACTTTTTATTACAACAACAGTTTGACGTCAAAACAAAATTATTCATGCGGTGCATGAATCGCTCCCATTGCACTTACGGTACTTCACGATAAGAAGAAAAATGCAAGGAACCTGCTCATAATAGAGACTTTTAGATTCATTACGACATGGGAGCAGACAACGCAGTGAATTGAAAAAAATATTCAATTCAAAGTTTTCTTTTGCATTTCTGCTTGTGCTTATTCCACTAGCATGAACGGGACTTTACAATTTTAGATGATGCTTTAATATTTAATATATGCTGTCAATATTTTAATGCGAAGCATCCTTCTGAAACGCTTTCTATTATACAGTGTGTATAAAAAAGGTATATAACCTTTTAGATTTAAATCAAGCATAATGCCGTATACGATTGAATTCATTTGTCAGAGAAGCTATAATCGCTTCAAACAAGTTAGTAAGCCATAAACAAAAGACTTTCTAGTTATGCGTACAGCAGCACAAGCACAAATTATAATTGATCTCTTTTGTAAAAAAAGTTTTCGTCGCGTATCATTAACTCAAAACATATGAGAACAATAAAATCACTTACAATTATTGCTAATTTGAATTTAAAAGGCTATACTTTTCTGTCCACTGTTCGCTAATTTGAATTTAAAAGGCTATGATTTACTGTCCACTGTTCGCTAATTTGAATTTAAAAGGCTATACTTTTCTGTCCACTGTTCGCTAATTTGAATCTAAAAGGCTATACTTTTCTGTCCACTGTACACATATTGCCTGAACTCTTGATGCCATGTCTTTTGACTGCCTATTCTATGCCTTACATCAAATCAGACTCAAACAAAAAGTCGACCGACCAAACGGTTTGGTAACGACATTTAACTGAAACGCTTTTTAAGTATAAAATAAACGCATTTATACAGGCTTCAAATTACCATAAAAGTCTTCACTGATAAATACTAAATAAATTCCTAAAGTGAGGAACACAACCCAAAAATGTCTCTTTTCAGTCAGCGTTATAAATTGTTTGTACTAAGCAAATTCAGTATAGTGTAAGACCAGGCAGGAATCAGTAGGCCATATAATGAATACAACATACACCAAAGGCAAAGCAATTGCATCGTTATCCGCTTATTTTATCAGTTTTATTTATTAACAGCATGAATTAAATAAGAACATTTCGCATGCGTAGGAAATGTCAAATGTATAGCACAAACAGCCACGATTAAAAGTTGTACAAGTCGTTATAACTGACTTTATAATATAGTGCTATAAAAGCCAGCGAACGACTATAATAATCAGTCGAATTGGATATATTAAGTGTAGAATTTACTTCGATTTACTTAAACCTAAGTAAATCAACTAATTAAACTACTCAGATTCCCTGTATTTATAGCATCATGTACGCAAAGCATTCTGGTCAGTTAACAGCAGTGCACAGTGATGCATTCTGGTCGGTTAACAGCAATGCATGCTGGTTCTAAAAACGGAAGTAAAATCTTACTTTCAGAGCCCTGTACGAATGAGAATTGCTGACTTGCTCGCTCGCTTCAGGCTCGCTCGCTGCGTCAGCAATAACTACACGAAGTCACGAACTTCTCCTTTTAAATAACCCCCCCCCCTGAAAGAGTCTAGAAAGAGAGAAATTTGCCCTCTGAACTAAAAGTAAGTATTATATGGTTTCTCGAAATCTTGAACTTCATTTTTAATGGCTCCTAACAACATGGTCATTAAAGGCATGCTGATAAGTTTAAGAAAACATGCATATATACAGTGCTATATATAACTAAGGGCCCACTAAGCTATAGCATTAAATTTCATTATTCACGACAAATCAATGCGTGCATCCTTATTGCACGTGGTTTGAGTTTAATCTGTAAGGATGAAATTTCCTCTCGACTTTATTGATAAGAGATTAAGTTCGAAGACAAATGATCAAACCTTTACTGAATTTAAGCCGGTAGAACGTAGAAAAAAATTCCCCACAACTACCTACCTTTCTTTTTTAGCCCTAAAATAGAATTGTGTGCAGCAATTTTGCGGTCTTAAATGCGTGTGACATACGAGCGAAGTACCGCGTTACGGTTTTCGGATTGTTGCGAATTCAGAAAAAGGGAATCATTTAGGAAATTTTCATTAGGCTCGACATTCATTGAAATTTTGTTTCAAGCATGCTGACTAGTTGCTATAATATCTACAAAATTTTTAAAAAGTTTTGCATTACCTTCGTGATTCAAATGTAGTCCTCCTCGCATTTTTAGCGAATAGTTTGCAAAAAAATACACGAATTAAAACGAGGAAAAAAACTCTTGTTATTTCGCACAGACAGTCAACTACACACGAAAAAACAGCATGCTCACATGTGAACTTCATCATCACCGATTTCACCGATAATCACGAGTTCACTTCACACGAACTATACACTCACCACAAGTAATATAACAATTCCTAGCACAGAATCGCATCAACTGTTATAAATAATAAATCTTGCAACATTGCTATCATCTCACTTTCAAAAGGCAACCTCTAACACCCTACAATAAGGGCATGGCTGTCTCCACAGGATCCGAATACTTGCAACAACATTAAACTCTTGCATTAAGAGTTCAATACTAGTTCAATAACAAACATCCTCTTTGTCACAAAGTCATTTGGAACAATTATATAGACAATTCCACCCCCTTTAGTCATAAATGGATAAATACATATATATTATACACCATCATCATTCAATATTTACCATCATTCAATAGTAAGGGATGATAATCATGATATTGTTTAAAAGACATAAGTTTAATAATATTACTCAGACATAAGTTGTTCTAATGTTCATTTATATACTATACGGTCCTTGACATTTTTAAAAGGTGGCTCCCTACAGTAATTTAGAATTAGGACCAGTAACTAAATAATGCTCACGCAAGCAAGAGTAAATCGCGGGATGCGGTAAAATTTAGCGTTTTGCGAGAGTAACGCGGGATTTTTAAATGCCATGCACTGTTAATTTCGGGGAGTAATTTTAACTCCACCGTAGGAGTTGAAATAACTCCCGTTTGAGGAGTAGAAATAATGGAGTGTATTTCACTCGAAAACCAGAGTTAAATCTACTCCACTTCAGTTCATATTTAAACATTAACACCACTAGGAGTAAACATTACTCCACTGCAGGAATAAAATATACTCCAGTAAAGGAGTACAAATATTGGAATACTTTTTACTCCTTTATTTTTACTCCGGGAGTAAATTTAACTCCAGTTTTGCTACTATGGGAGTTTATTCAACTCTCATAAAGGAGTAAAATGTACTCTTGAAAAGGGATACACATATTAGAGTAATTATTGTATAATTTACTCCTATATTTTCACTCCAAAAAAGGAGTAAATCTACGAGAGTAAATAATTCATTTTTGGGAGTCAAAAAAACTCTAATAAATGATAAAATTAGATATACTTAGAAAATGGATATCAAGTAATTACTGTAACTTTACTCCTAACTGTCACTCAAAAAATGACAAATTTTTTAAGGGTATAAAGGAGAATGTATACTTTATCTAAATTTTACCCCCACAGCTATAAGCAAAGTTAAAATTTTCACTACCCTGAAAATGTTACTTTTCAGGCTAGTGAAAGTTACCATTAAGCCACAATGCAATATTCCACTGGGCGGTTTACATGAATCCGGATTGAGCAGTATTCCAGATTGAACCCACCCTGGTTCTCAAGAAATCATAATAACTGTTTACATGAATCTGCAATCATTCATTTCTTAAGAACTGGGGTGAAACTCAATCCGGATTCATGTAAACAGCCCCTTAGACAAGTGGTGTACCAAATACAGCCCCCCCCTTCTTCAAAGAAATTTTAAAAAAAGCTGGGGGTTTTTTCACCAAAAAACGGCTTCAAAATTTATGAAACTGCTATCGATAGAAAGCTTACATAACACAGCTTCCGAATATGTAATTTTTATCCTGGCCCAAATTCGTTGTCGAATCTTACAGCTCCTGAAACGCAGACGTCTGCCAGCCTGAGATTCGAAATCGCATATAATGATGTACGTTAAATGCGCATTGAAGTACGAGCGAAGTAAACACCAAAAAACGGCTTCAAAATTTATGAAACAGCTATCCATAGAAAGCTTACATAACACAGATTCCGAATATGTAATTTTTATCCTGGCCCAAATTCGTTGTCGAATCTTACAGCTCCTGAAACACAGACGTCTGCCAGCCTGAGATTCGAAATCGCATATAATGATGTACGTTAAATGCGCGTTGAAGTACGAGCGAAGTAAACACCAAAAAACGGCTTCAAAATTTATAAAACAGCTATCCATAGAAAGCTTACATAACACAGATTCCGAATATGTAATTTTTATCCTGGCCCAAATTCGTTGTCGAATCTTACAGCTCCTGAAACGCAGACGTCTGCCAGCCTGAGATTCGAAAAAATGCGGGTGGCACACGCCAGCCCATTTGGCAAGCAAGTAAATTGGTAAATATAACCTTTCCAGTTAAACTTTAAGATATTTCTGATGCTGAGCAGAAATAGGAACTGAATAGTAAGAATCCCGAAGATCGATAGATGCCATAAAGCAATTTTTCTTCATTAGCTGTAGTGCTGTATGCACTGATTCCATTTTGAAATGGTGGTAAGTTACAAACTCATTTAGTTTTTTGAGGTTTAAAATTAACCTGAAAGTGCTATCCTTTTTGGGCCTAACAAAATAGTTGAAAGGAACTCTTCTGGTTCATGAAGCGAAAGGACAATGACGCCCTTTCTTCATAAGCGTTGGATTTCAAAGTCAATAGCTTCATCATCAGAGGGAGAGGATCAAACCTTGCCCTCGTTGCTTTGCAACTCTAGTATGCAACAAACAGCATGATGTATAAAACAATAATGCCGCAATATTCGGAAATCGACTCTATATGCGAGAATAGCTATATCTCATGCAAACTGTCTTGGGGCAAAAAGTTTTTCTGGATTAGCGGAAAACTCAATGTTTACCCCTTGTATGGCATTAAGTAGCCATCTATCACTGGTGATTTTACACCAGGCATTAATATACTTTGCCAGGCGACCTGCAATATTGTCACACACTACTACAGTGTTAGGACATGTACTCACCTGATTTGTACAATGCCATGTCTCTTTCAGTGCGCCCGTGATTGGTTCTTCGCCCCTCTTCTTTTCCTCTGGAAGCTCTGGGGGCGATACTTCCCACGCTCGTTTTTTGAGTGTTGGTATGAATAGTCCCGAGAATGTGATGATCCTTTATATGATTTAGGACCATAATTTCGCACCAACCCTGTTTGTAGTTGATATATCTTGTACTGTTTTAGGTAAGTCATCACCAAATAATTCTGTGGTGCATGGGACATGTTCTGCACACAATTTCCGGTACTGTTCATTTAGGTCAGGCCTGATTAATTCCCGGCGCCGTTGATTTAGCTCATGATTGGCTCGGACTACGAATGCAATGGCATCCATGGACTGAATAACAGCTGCATCAGCTGTGTCGCTGCGCGCTTTAGATGCTAGGGGAGTCGAATCCTTTAGATTAAGAAGACTCTCAGTCACTCGAGTTTGAGCAATTAGAGCTTTAAGCAATAGCATTTGAGCTTTCTGCATCTTTATATCGCGAGATCGTGTCTTGCTTTGCAACCGTGACCAGATTGCTGCGTTTACTCTTGTAGGGATAATTTTGCCACAATTTTTTGGCCGAAGATATTTCTACTTCTATTTCTTTTTTCTACAAGTTCAGCAAGCTGTGTGGGGATGTCTTCACCACACTGATCGACCAGGTCAAAATCGTTGGCAATGCCTGTCAAAATGGCGTCGCCACCAGCCGCCGTCTTTTCGGCGACTACCGATTAATCGGTTGACTTATTCAAAAGCGCATTGACCGCGTTATCAAGTTCATCAGCCGGATTTTCACGACTCTTCTTGTTATTTGGCTCTAGGGCCTGTTTTTCGGAGTTTCAGACGAGCTATCGTCGTCTGAGGACGAAGGACTTGCTTGTCGTTTTCGAGGCCGCGTTGGCGCCAAATTGCTTTGTAACGAAGCAAGGCTGTATTGTAACGTTTTTGCAAGGCTTTGTAACGAGTTCGTCATGGAATTTTCCATGCCTCGTATACCCTTTAAAGTGGCATTAGAAATCTCTCTCGAGTCTTCATCGTCTAGTAGCCTAGACTCCTCGTTTTCGCTTAATATGTCTTGGACTTCTTGTTGTGGTTCATCCATATTCATGGGACCACTACTGATATCCTTAAGAGATTTCTCCCCTTTCCTGGATATTTCGTTATATCTGCGCCCTTAGATAAGGTATTTCGGCAGATAATGTATTTCGTAACAATCTAAATACGGAAAAAACGTCGTTTTCCCCAAAAAATTATTTGTAGGTAAGGGCAAAATTGTTTGCACCGTTCGACTGCGGAAGGTCTCACGAACTGAAGGTTGGCTATCTCACGTGATCTCCATGTGACCCCTTGTGACAGGTTATGACAAGGAGGTAGAATTTGCAATTATATACTAAGGCAAGGCCATCTTTACTGCTCGGCAAGTCGCAAGATTTCTTCTTTCTCAACAAGCAAGGAGCGCCTTTTGATAGCAGCAGTTCAATTGCAAGGTACATTGGCGATATTTTCATGCGCGAGGTTTCCATTCGAGCAAGCACGAATGCGTTAAGGCATGCTATCATCACATATTTCAGCACTTTGGACGACTCCAAAGATATAAATGTTCGAAAAAGTCTTGCGCTTTCACGCACGTAGCCCATCATGCTATCTTGTCTTGTCTTTCATGCTTTCTTTAATGAGAACACTAAATCTCTTGGTACCTTTAGACCGTCAGAAAATTAGACCAGGAGTTCATTTCATTCAGGTCAAAAAATTTGAAACCAGTTGTCCAAATAAGCAATTTTTCTTTTATATGAGATTTCAGATTTTGAAAGCTAAATTCTTTAATATTTATTTGCTGAACTTGAAATTCAGTAAGAATGTGCAGAAGAGATTGGCAAAGGATACAAAAGAATATTAGACCAGCAGTTCATTTCATTCAGTTCAAAAAATTTGAAAACCATTGTCTAAAATAGCAATTTTTCCCTTATATGAGATGTCAGATTTTGAAAGCTAAATTCTTTAACATTGATTTGCTGAACTTGAAATGGAACGGCAGAACTCGCGCTTTCACTTTGTGTGTTCACCTTGTCCAAAGGACATTGTGCACAACATTCGCGCCTCTTCGAAGCAAAACTTCAGAGAACGCAGCACCTATTCGCCCGAAGGCCGGAGGAAAGGCAGCAACCGATCGAGAGCAGCCGCCTATCCCACCACGACGAGCGAGTTTTGCTTCACACTCGCACTCATTCGCGGAGCACCTGCCCCTCATATATAGTAAAAATTATAACCGGAGCACCAGTCGCTGCAACATCCTCCTTGAAGACCGATTTTGACCACCTTGCACCAAGCCGCCAAAATTTGACTACTTCTCTAAACATTCTCTTTGATCATAATCTGTGCAAGCTAACTTCAGAAACGTCGCCATTTCGCATAAGTCGACCACCCCTTGAAAATCCGAGCGAGTCGTTTATTTTCTTGTCTGGTCGTACTCACAACCGCAGCAGGTCTCCAAGGTGAGCAGCCTCTAGTTGATAGAACAATGTAGGTAAGTGAAGTCGGCAAAATAGTTTCTTAACTTCGGGAAAAGGATTGGCTCTAAGGGTTGGGTCTGTCTGGCTAGGACTTGAAGCGCGAGGACTCGGCGTGGGCTGACGGAGATGCGTGGCTTGCTGGGCGTCGAAGTCGGACTGCGAAGGGACTTCGGGTGGATTGACTCAGCTGTGACCGTCAGGTCGATTCAGCAGGCGATTAACAAACAACTGAGAACTGGAACGGACAAGGGGAATCCGACTGTTTAATTAAAACAAAGCATTGCGATGGCTGGTGACTGGTGTTGACGCAATGTGATTTCTGCCCTGTGCTCTGAATGTCAAAGTGAAGTAATTCATCCAAGCGCGGGTAAACGGCGGGAGTAACTATGACTTTCCTATTCCAACACCTGCTGGCATAAGACGTCCTGACCTGCTGGTCTGGAATTGCAATGGCACTTGCTTTGTGGTCGATGTCACTGTGTCAGCCGATAACGCGGACCTGGAGGATGTGCACTCGAGGAAAGTTAGCTACTATAATAATGAGCATGTCCGCAACTGGGTGCAGGGAGTGAGCGGAGCAGCGGAGGTAAACTTCTCCTCGATTAGTTTTAATTGGAGGGGTGCCATCGCTAAACCGTCTTACAACCTTTTATCTGATAAGTTTGGGTTTAATATGTTTGAAATAGAGATACTTAGTGTTTAGTGATGGAGAAGGGCTATAAAATTTGGCTGGACTTCAAGAAAGGAACTTACAGATCGGAGACAACAAATTGGGATGAGGCTTTGAGTTTGGAGGAATGAACTGGAGACAAATCGGACTGAAAGAATACATATATTGAGACACTTATTTAACGCTAAACTCTACTTATAATATTTGTGAATAGAAATCATATAAACAATTCTACAGCTGCATATGTATATATTTTTTTTATATTGTGTATAATTATTTAATTGTGAGGGCTGCAATCTCATGCCCAAATGTACATTTATCTATTGAAGAATTTATTAAATGTATTTAATAGCCAAATGCCTCGTCATCTAATTAGTGACGCGCATTAATGAGATTCCCACTGTCACTATTTATTATCTAGCGAAACCACAGTTAAGGGAACGGGCTTGGCAGCAACAGCGGGGAAAAAAGACCCTGTTGAGCTTGACTCTAGTCTGACTCTGTGAAAAAACATGAGAGGTGTAGAATAAGTGGAAGGAGCAATCAGCCGGTGAAATACCACTACTCTTATCATTTTTTTACTTATTCGGTTAAGCGGAGCTGGACCTCAACGTCCACTTTTTAGCATTAAGATCGCTCTTCTGCCGGTTGATCCGAGCCAAAGACACTGTCAGGTTGGGAGTTTGGCTGGGGCGGCATGACTGTCAAATGATAACGCAAGTGTCCTATGGTGAGCTCAATGAGAACGGAAATCTCATGTAGAGCAAAAGGGCAAAAGCTCACTTGATTTTGATTTTCAGTATGAATACAAACTGTGAAAGCATGGCCTGTCGATCCCTTAGTCTTCACGAGTTTTAAGCTAGGGGTGTCAGAAAAGTTACCACAGGGATAACTGGCTTGTGGCAGCCAAGCGTTCATAGCGACGTTGCTTTTTGATTCTTCGATGTCGGCTCTTCCTATCATTGCGAAGCAGAATTCACCAAGCGTCGGATTGTTCACCCGCCAATAGGGAACGTGAGCTGGGTTTAGACCGTCGTGAGACAGGTTAGTTTTACCCTACTGTTGAATGGTTGTTGCAATAGTAATTCTGCTCAGTACGAGAGGAACCGCAGATTCAGACAAATAGCTCATGCACTTGCCTGAAAAGACAATGGTGCGAAGCTACCATCTGTTGGATTATGATTGAACGCCTCTAAATGAGAATCCGTGCTAGAACGCGACGATTCCTTTTCTCTGGACAACTTAAGCGAACACGAATAGAGACGCGATCATTCGCGCCTCCTGCGTCACAACGTGCCCACGGAGCGGACAATGCTCCAAAGCACTGCAACGATCAAAATCTAAATTTTCCAGAGCTAAATCATTTGCAGATGACTTAAATATAAGAACGGGGTATTGTAAGCAGTAGAGTAGCCTTGTTGCTACGATCTGCTGAGATTAAGCCCTTGTTCTACGATTTGTTTCTTTTTTTTCCGACACTCACACATCCTCGGAGCAGTCGAACATATCCGCAAAAAAGCCAACAACTCGAGGTCTCCCGAACATGTTCAGGAGAAGGGGGAGCATATCGATGTCTCTCGAACATAACCGGCAGAAGAGGCAAACAACTATAGGTCTCTCGAACATGTTCGGAAAAGTCGCACTTTCGAACCGTACTAAGATGAGAGGAAAACGAGTTCTCTTGAACATGTTAAAAAAGTGGCGATTTAGATCGCTACCAAGAGGCGAAGGAATCGAGGTCTTCCAAACATGCCAAGTCAAAGTGCCAAGTCAACCCGCACTAAGAGGGGAAGAACTCGATGTCTCCGGAACATGTTCGACAAAGTGCCCAGTCAACCCGCACTAAGAGGGGAACAACTCGATGTCTCCCGAACATGTTCGACAAAGTGCCCAGTCAACCCGCACTAAGAGGGGGACAACTCGAGGTCTCCCAAACATGTTCGACAAAGTGCCCAGTCAACCCGCACTAAGAGGGGAAAAACTCGATGTCTCCCGAACATGTTCGACAAAGTGCCCAGTCAACCCGCACTAATACAGGGCTTTTTTGTAGTCTTGTAATTGGAATGAGTACAATCATTACAACAAACCAAGCCGCATTGGTTTTTAATCTGATATAAGGAAAAAATTGCTATTTTGGACAATTGGTTTCAAATGTTTTGACCTGATTAAAATGAACTGCTGGTCTAATATTCTGTTGTATTCTTTGCCAATCTCGCCTGAACATTGTTACTGAACTTCAAGTTCAGCCAATAAATATTAAAGAATTTAGCTTTCAAAATCTGACATCTCATATAAGGGAAAAATTGCTT